GCTGGGTGGTGAAGACGCCCCGAAACTGCAAGCCTCCCCGTGCGCCATCAGAGACAGCGGCCGCTTTAATTCCTCCCCCCCCCCCTTCCTTATTTACACAAAAAGTTCAGAGAAGTCGAAGTCGACTTCTGCGAAAAGCCCTCACTGGAGCGGAAGAGGAAGCCCCGGTTTATCGACACCGGGCCAGGCGCTATCGCACAGCTGCGGCTTCCAGGAAGCACCTGCGGCTTCCAGGAAGCACCAGCGGCCCCGACCCCCTCCGCACCTGCCAGCACCTTTGCATATTTCCATGGCAAAGGCCGAGCTTTGCATCAGGGCCCCACCGCACCCCCGGGGACCAAACAGGCCCAAAATAGCCTGCAAAGACACAGCATTTTAAAAAAAAAAACCCACCCCACAACAGAAAACCCCATACCAACAAAACATTTTGCAATATCTGCATAGCAGGGCTGAGCCACCAGCTTGTTTTCGGTAGCGAGCCCTGCCAGCACTGCAGGAAGCCGTTGCCTCTCCCCTGCCTCACCCCATCTGCTCGATGGCCCACGGGGCTGGAGCCGCCAGCACAGGTTTTGGGGTAAGGAAGTGCTTTGGCCCTCAGGAGGGGGATTTTCCAGCCAAGGCTCCCACAGCGGAGCTGGTCCCGGCAAGGAGGAAGCTGTTCATCAAACCACTGCCGGAGCGAGATCTGCCCGTAACCGGGCTGCATGCTTCCTCCACCCCCGACCCGCAGGAATCGAAACTCTGCAGGAATTGAAACTTGGGGGCCACAGGGCAGGGAGTGCTCTGGGGGAGCAGGGTCCCCCTAAAGAGCTTGCTCTGCCCAGGCAGAGGAGGGACGAGACTCACACCGGACAACCGAGGCCACGCAGAGCATCTCGCGCCTCTCGGAAGGGGCGAGGGGCACAGCTCAGCCCCAGGCTCTGGCAAGAGCCTGCTCTCCTCCAGGCTGTGGGCCCCCGCCTCGCCAACACAGCGGGTGACAAGCCTCAGCGAGCCACGGCACACGTCGAGGCGCTGCCAGAAAAGCCGTTTCAGACCACGCAGGCACTGAGCGCAAGGCGCCTCGTGGACTTTCCCCACCCACGTACGCAGCGAAGGAGAAGAGCATCTCAGCACGGAGCAGCTCCGGGGAGCCCCAATGAGTGACACAAGGCACCCAGAGCAGTTTTCCACAGCCTGCAGAGGCTTTCTAATAACCAAGAGGCTATGGGGTGCCCCACCAGCAGCATCTGTGCTAACAGGCCCACATCAGCAAAGCAGAGCAGGAGCATTTAGCATGTCAACGTCTGGTTACAGGAAACAACAAGTTTTATACTAGAGGATTGAGAACAAAAGAAGTTTATTGACAAAACTAAGTGCTTGTTCAGCAAACAAGCAGGCCTGACAATAGCACCATCTTTCAGCTCTCCACTTGGGCTTTCATTTGGGCATCGCTCGGGCTGCAGGTCAAACACCACGGACGAGGATGTTCCTCGCTGTGCAGGACCTGGTCCCACAGAGCAGAGCTCCCCAAGAACCAAGATCCACGGGCTGAGGGCACGGGGCGGGTGAGTATGCAAGCCCACTGAGAAGCAATGCTACCAGCTGGGGACCAGGGACCGAGCCCAGGGCTGGCACCGACAGACTCGCACAAGCTGCAGATCTGAGCTGACAAGTTTTATTCTGCTCCAGAACGTTTACATTCAAATATCAGCTTTGTTCGACTCATGGCTTAGAGTGTCAAAATTAAAGGAAGACAAGGAAGCGACTGATACTGGCTTCCACAGGTCCCCACCCACTAGAAGGGCTAGAATAACCAAAAAGATTAAAATAAAAGAAACATCAACT